TATAACTATATTTATAACTAGTGTAATACGTATAATAATAATTATACCTATTATAATTATGTTTGTAATTATAATTATAATTATGATTATTATTATAATTATATTTAAATTATATATGTGTAATTACATTTATAATTATAGTAATTGTAATTGTAATTATAATTTTAGAAATATTCAAATCAGATCAGATCAGAAAGATTCAGATCAGATCAGAATCATTCAGATCAAATCAGAAACATTCAGATCAGATCAGGAACATTCAGATCAGATCAGGAACATTCAGATCAGATCAGGAACATTCAGACCAGATCAGAAAGATTCAGATCAAATCAGAAATATTCAGATCAGATCAGATCAGATCAGATCAGAAAAATTCAGATCAGATTAGATCAGAACTTAAAAAATTCAGATCAGAAACATTCAGATCAGGTGAAGAGAACAGCTTCTAAGCTTGAAGTCAACTAGCTCCTCATGAAGTCAAAGAATTAAAAGGAGCATTAATTAATTACTTCACATGAGCAAATTGAGGTCACCCTCTTCTTAAGTGAATGCAGTGCCCCCTGAGCCTAAGTTCTTGGGAGTTCGTGGCCTCAGGGAAGATTGTGGACTTAGTTATACTCAGTACTCAAGTTCCACATAGGCAATGGTAATTACGTCATCTGCATGTCAATTGTCCAGGGCTGACGTCACCTAAGTGGTTATACATAGAAGGTTTTAGGCTTACATGCGTGCCTTCCGTACGCAGCCTAGTACAAAAAGGAATCAAATCAGTTGCATAATATTATCAATCAGCCACTTGTTCGCATTCTCTTGCCAATCAATCTTTACACGTGTCATTGAATTATTAGACTAGCATATTTTGCTCGATTCCCTAGTATTTCCTTATATACAATAAATATCACCTTCCGATTTGTGAAAATAGATCGTCATTCTTGCACACAAGCTTATTGTTACTCTGTCAAATTTCCTACTCATCTATACTTAGCACTTTTTAGTCTCTCTCCTTGGTTTCCTGCTGCCCCAGGTCAGCGAAGCCATTATCACGTGGTTTGGGTCGGATAGTTCAGGTTCGGGGCGGGTGGGGCGGATCTTATAAAATTTAAGAACCGAACGGGTCTTAAATTTTGAAAAAACGGGTACCAAGACCGACCCGTTGTAAAATACTATTGTAATAAACTCTGTTGTGTTCCATATATATAATATACTAACAATACACAAAAGCTAAAATATCCCCAATTTAGTTCATATAAACTTCTAAGTTATTATCCCCAATTATCTATTCCAAATGCATCAAATTGTCTTTATTTAATCTTTTTTTGTAACTAAGAGTTACTGAATGAAGTGTGATATATCATATAATCACTTAATTATCTGAATTTTACTTGCATTTTGAGATTTGTTAAACTTTAAATTATTCTCTTAGACATTGATGTATAGTGACTAATTTAATTTCTTGCGACTTTGTGGTGTTACCTTTTTAACTTATGAATTATGTCTAATTTTCAACTTTTAATTTTTTTTTTTATTTGATTTGTGTGATTGTGTACTTTTTAATTTATAGATATGTGATTAGATGCTTTCTTAACTAAATCAATATTATGTTTTACATTTTTATTTTCAATTACTACTATATTATGGTGACATTAATATTTAATTAGTTTTAGAATGTTATTGTTTACTAGATACTTTGATTGCTAGTGTAGCAGTTTTTTTCACACAAAAAAAAACGAGAATTCAGAACCAATTTATTAATTACTCGTACCAACCTAGACTCTCACAGCATGCCCACCCCTAATTTCAGCAACCCACTTTTTTCCAATTCATGTTAGCCACCGACCTTCCACAGACTAGTCTTTATCATGCCACTGAAATTAAACAAGTCCACTTTCCTTCCTATCTTTCTTTATAGAGAAAAGTGTCAAATGAGTCCACGTACTATATTGAAAAAGTCAATTGAGTCCATATACTATTTTATCAATCAATTGGGTACACAAAGTCTCAAATTTTAACCAAATTTGTCATTTAACCGGTAAACAACCGGTGACCCATTTTTTGTGCTGATGTGGAGGCCACTTAGGCTTTTTTATACTTTTTCCTTTTTTTCCATTCCTTCTTCCTTTCCCTTTTTTCCTTTCTTTTCCCCTTTTTTCTTTCTTCTTCCTTTTTCCCCTCTGGTGACCCATTCCGACGCCTGCAACCCCCCCCCCCCCTCCCTTCATTCCCTTTTTTCTTTTTTCCCCTTCTTCTCCAATCTCCCTGCAACCCCTCTCCCCTATTCTTCAACCTCTTCTTCTCCACTGCTTTTACCCCACGCCCCTACCCAATTCAACATTTCAACCTCCCCCTCTATTCTTGCAATCTTGCCCACCCCTTCTCCTTTCCTTTTTCTTTCTATTTCCTCTTCCTTTTTCTCTTCTCTAATCCACTTCTTCTACTCCACTCAACCTTCTATCCCTGTCTTTCATGGCTGGAGAAGGCAACCCGACTAAAACCCGATGAAAACCCCAGATCTTCTTCGATGGCAACCAGACGGCAACGGAGAAGGTGGCGGCAGAGCTCGATGCCGATGGTGATGCCGGCGGTAGAGCTCGATGCTGATGGTGATGCCGGCGGCAGAGCTCGACGCCGATGGTGATGACAGTGGCAGAGCGAGACGCCGGGGAAGACGGCGGCGGAAGTGTTCTGCGGGGATGGCAGTATAAAGATGGAGTGGTGTAGATGGGAAGAAGCAAGAAAAAAGAGTAAGGGAATAAAGAAAGAAAAGAGAAAGAACGAAGAGACCAAGAGAAAAACGAAGAAAAGGCAGAGAGAGAAAGACTTAAAGAAAATAAGAGAAGGAAATAAAAAAAAGAAGATTTTTTAAAAGGAAAGAAGACTTTAATGCCACATGGACGGCCAAGTAATGCTTACAAGGAAAAAAAGCCACATGGATGTCCACATAGGCAGATTAACAGGGAAAACCGGTCAATAACATGATAAAAGGCAAATTTGGTCGTTTTTTGTAACTTGGTAGACTTAATTGATTAGAAGAATAGTATGTGGACTCAATTGACTTTTTTGAAATAGTAGATGGACTCATTTGACAGTTTTCTCTTCTTTATATTAAAAAGGATGAATACCTAATATTTTAATTTTTTTTCAGCAATTGGAAAGGCAAAAAAGAGATAAACAGTAAAGTCTCCATAGAGTCATTTTGGCTTTCTTAATAGTGAAGAGAGAATCACACTTCTTTTTTAATACTATTCACCGTCCTACCACATTACCTGGGACCGCATAACAATAGTCCCACGACTCCCACCGGTCATTTCCTTTGTTTAACATACTTGGTGGAGGTAGGGATGGACTGGGCCGGGCCGAACCGGCCCGGAACCGGACCGGCCCGCTACTGTGCGGGCCCGGACCGGACCGGGCCCGGTTGGCCGGTTCCGGGCTTTTAGCCCGTGTTGGCGGGTCGGGCGGGCCGGTTCCGGGCCCTATTTTTGTTGAACCGGCCCGGGCGGTTCGGGCCGGGCCCGGTTCATTTTTTTTTTTTTTTTTGGTTTTTTCAATTTTTTTTCTTTTCCTAGGGTAGGGCTGGGTGTTTTAGGGAGGTTTGGGGCATGGGGGTGAGGGGGGGGGGGGGGGGTAGGGAGATAACAAGAAAGTAAAAAAAAAAAAACATTGAACCGGGCCCGGCCCGGCCCGGCCCGGTTAGGCCCGGACCCGGTATCAACCCGGGCCGGTTCCGGGCCCATGTCACCCGAAAAAAAAGCCCGCCCGGGCCTTGCCCGGAACCGGAACCGGCCCGGCCCGGGTCCATCCCTAGGTGGAGGTGGGTGGGCATGTAGCCGTTGCCATCGGCTATACAGTCATTTGGCAAGGTTGTCATGGAACAAGAATCTAGTAAAGCCCACAACGACCTAATTAATTATTGAACGAGATTGAGCACACAATTAGGCATGGACCAGTTCCGGTCGGCCCAGCCCGGGAACCGGCCCGACCCGCCACTGTGCGGGCTCGGACCGGCCCGGTGAACCAGGCCTAGGACCGGCCCAGTGTGTTAGAGCGGTCCAATTCCGGGCCTACCCTTCCTTTGGAACCGGCCCGGTTCGGGCCTATTGATTTTTTTTGTTTTTTTTCAATTTTTTTTGTTTTTCCCGGGTTGGGCTAGGTGTTGGGGGGGGTGGGGGTGGGGGGGTCGGGGTTAATTACAAAAGCAAATAAATATGAACCGGCCCGAGACTGGACCAGACCGGCCCGGACCCAGTTGCAAACCGGGCCGGTTCCGGGCCTACCCCCAAAAAATAAAAGCCCAGTTTGGACTGGCCCAGTTCGAAACCAGTCCATGACTCCATGCCTACAGTCCTACACACAATCTCTTCAAACACTAGTGTGCTTTCATGTTTGGTTGAAGACCCGCCAGCGAACTCAAGAAATTAACGTAGCAGCACTCCAACTCTTAAAGCGATAAATAACGATAAGTTGCAATATGTTGATGGAAATCCGGTGCATCAAAATTCAAAAATCAAAATGCGAGAAAAGGCTGCAAAAGTTGCTTAAAGATTAATGTCAATTGTCAACGAGAACTTCAGCGGCGGACGCAGGATTTCCCGATAGCAGGGGCGGCAGTAGAAGAATATACATACAAATACATATATATTAAAAATTTCGGGGTAAATATACCTAGAATTTATTTTTTTCGGAGGGGCGGCAGCCCCTCATTGCCCCCCTTTGTGTCCGCCGCTGGAGAACTTCGTCATGCATTTTTTGTGTTGTGCATTACAAAAAAAGGAGTTACTGAATATACGCCCATGAACAATCTACTTTTCACCCGGAAGGGTGAAAATCACATTAATTTTTTTAAAGATTGCTGTTAGAATGCAACTGTTAAAAAAACGAAAGCTTTAGCAACTGTTAATACAAAATGCAATTAAAGAATGATCGTATAATTGTATACACAGGTTAAAAAAATTAATTAGACCAATAAAATCAACCAATGAAGAACACAGTTCATAACTTGACCAAACGAATATGCTTCACCAATTTCGCACATATAAATCATGTGAACACCGAGAAGCTTGCAATCACTAAAGCCTTTCAATAGATACTAGAGATTTGCTATCACATAAGATTATAAGAACAGATCCTCTAGCTAGCTGACAGCATAGCAGAAATGAGGGAAGTGAATATTTTACTAGTTTATCAAATGGTCCAACCATAAACTGCCACAAGAGAAAGCAAAGTTGAATAATTGCAAACCTGGGCAGCCTAGACACAAATGACATGTACCTATTCTATGTTTCTATTGCACAACTACCACTTAAACCTTAAATCCAACTATTACATAGTTTTTCAAGCACACTGTACAGTCACACAGGGGGCGGGGTTCGGTAAACACAGGACCACCATCTAAAACAAACAAGGGACAAGCAAACCTGATCAAATACGCAGATATGTGATATGTCCCATTTATATGTTTTATAGAACACGATGTTTGTTATGGCAACATTGTGTCACCTGTGGAGGTGAACATGTGTACATCTGTTTCCACTGGTACTGATTTGCTTGTTCCCGGATCCTCTTTTGAATCACCTGAATATATAAGGATTAGTAGTCGAGGGTTTGCAACTATAAACATTTTGAAATATGAAAAATTTCCATTTAAGGTCCAATGACTTTTAGATCAGTTCCTATGCATGTAATCCATGTATAGTCCAGACTTTCATTTTTCCTCAAATTCGATGCACAACTATGATAGGCATGATAGGATCATTGCGACCTCTGTGAATGACCTCATAGTTGTGTAACCAAGTATGGCAAGCCTTCTTTAAAGAATCATGATCTCTTGAATCTTTAAATGGCTTAGTTCACGCTACCCAAACAGGCAGTGTCCACACGGACCTAGGGGCTATTAGATCCACTCTCCCTCTCACACACAAGCATGTTGTGTGACAGTATGAGAATGAGACCCAGACCCCGGGGGCACTACCTGCCCGAGTAGCATAGTAACAGCCCTTGAAATGGACTACTCACCAAAAATGGAATCAATCGAGGGCCTTTTAGGTGATGTACTCCTCAAAAGATCTACAATGTAAATAAATCAACTATAGAAGTAATGCAAAAACATCTAAATTTTTATTTAGTATTCATTTTTAGCATTATTTTTAGGAATAATGACAAGAATAATACCACACTTTTGAATGGACAAAAGTAGGACCAGGTCTTAAATTGGACAAAAAGGAGACCAAATATTAATACATTGAGTAGAATGTCCTTAATATTGAGTTCTATTACTTGGATTCAATAGTTCAGAAAGACGGTGAACTAGATGGAAATGGATTCCATAGAATCAGAACAAGATGAATGAAATGAAAGAGTGTGTCGGGATTTCTATGTGATCGAGGTATGCCGACTAGAGTGAAGGGTAAATTTAATCGCACAACAATTAGTCTTGCATTATTGTATGGCGTAGAGTGTTGGACAGTGAAACAATGTCAATTCAAAAGATGAGTGTTGCAGAAATGCGCATGTTGCATTTGATGTGTGGACATATCAGAAAAGACCGCTTGAGGTAAGAGGCAATCAGACAAAAGGTTGGAGTAGCACCTATTGAGGTTAAGATGCGGGAGTCTCGATTGCGGTGGTTTGGCCATATGCATAGAAGACCAATTGATGCACTTGTTAGACGAGTTGAGAGGTGTAGAGAAGAGGCAGAGAGGAGGGTAGAGGAAGACCCAAACATACATGGATTAGAGGAGTCAGGACTCAAGAGTGATATGCTTCTTGAATTGGATGACAACATGGTTTTGGAGAGAGCAAATTGGAGGACAGATATTCGTGTGGCGGATTGATCTCTTATCATCTTTTTTCCCTTTATCTTCTTTATCTTTCTTATATTTTTATTCTTTTATCCTTATATTTTATTCTTTTATTTTTATTCTTTTACCCTTTACATATATTCTTTTTATCATTTTTATCTTATCATTTTTATGTATATGTTATCTCTATTTTATTTTATCTTTTTTTTTCGATCATTTGCAATGGAGCCAACGATTCACTATTTTTTGGCTTGAGAATATGATGGAATAAAGCAAAATGGCTCACTAAACTGTCTGCGCTTCTTTGTTATGAAGCAGCAGTTAGTCCATGCAATTTTGGACGCGTTTTTCACTTGGGTCATCGGGAAACGGTCTCTCTGTGCTTGAGTACAGGGGTAACTTGAGTACAGGGGTAAGACTGCGTACATCCAACCCTCCCCCTTACACTACCATAGGTGGGAAGCCTTTGCGGCACTGGGGTAATGATGATGATGATGATGATCATTCATTTCCTTTTGGCTCTGCTATCAGCCTATCATATATCAATTCATGTTAGCTGAACCTAAAAGCTTTTGGAACTAAGGTTTGGATGTTGTTGTTGTTAACTTCATATATTAATATCCCTTACTGGCCAAATCTCCCGACACCAACTCATCACAGACCTCTGTCGCCATGTTACGCAGCTGCTGCTTCCACCTCCGCCACTACCTTTTCATCTTCTTCTCCTTTCTTCTGTCTACAATCTGTCGTTCCAGTCCTTTCTCCTTCTTCGTCAAACAGAGGGATCATCGTCATTGAAGACGGCGATGAGCTTCGTCGATCCAGCAATGAGGAGCTCGGATTGCCGCAAACCTCCACCACTTCATCTTCTTCTCCTTTCTTCTATCCGCAATCTGTAGATCGATCTGAAATATTGGCTGCCGGTGTTAGGGGGTCTGGGAAGGGGATAGGGTTAGGGACTTTGGGGTTTGTGGTTGGAGGCACGGCTAGGTTAGAGGTTCAGGAGCAGTGGTAGAAGCTAAAGTGAAAATGGGGGCTGTAGTTGGGGGCAGGCTGGGGAGGGTTTGGGCGATGGGGTAGGGCAGAAGGGGTGGGGGTTAGGGAGTGAGGGGCAGGGTGGGGCAGGAGGTCACTCGCATAAGCTAGGAAAAGGGCCGGTGTGGTGATCACTGGACGGGGGTGGCGGTGGTCACCAGACGGGTGGCGGTGGTCACCAGACGGGTGGCGGTGGTCACCAGATGGGGCGGCGGTGGCCACCGGATGGGGCAGCAGACCGGCAGTGGTCACTGGACAGAGGTCATTGGCGGACGACAGGTCACTGGCAGCTAGGAAGCACGGAAACGCCAACCAGGCTGAGGTTTCCGTCCCGGAAACGTTTCGGAAACGCGAAACGCCGGGAAACGGCTAGGAAACGATGAGAAACGTTTCTGCGGTCGTGGGCTTTTGGGCCTGAAGCTGGAAACGTTTCGGAAACGTGATTTGCAGTGGGCCGACACGTTTCTTGTAGTTTTTTTTTTAAATCTGGGTCGGTCAAATGGGTCAATCAATCGTACTCCGGTACTCCCTATCGGCAGACTGATAGTCTAAAACAGCACCTGCGAAACTGGGAGCGTGAAGTTTGCTACCAACTTGCGAATCCTCGACGGGAAGAAGAAGCAAGAGGCAACGTTCATACGCTCGCATGATGCGGAATAGGCGATTCCGATCTTCGACTTGGAGTGTTGGTCTGCTGGACGGAGTGGCCGGCTGAAGTTGGTGAGGCATATGCTTTCTGCTGGTTTGCTCTTTGCTGTACGATGCGTATTTGGGGATTTGGGTGGGGCTTGTTTCCTACTCCGTATTTCTTGCTGGTCTTATTTAATGGGCCGAATTTGGTAAAACATTTGCTTTTTCTTTTTATTTATTATGTATGTGGATTGTACATTACCTATACATTACTACACATTAAAATATAGATAATGTACATTTTGTAAACATTACCTATATATTAGTAAAATTTGATGGACGTAAACATTACCTATGTATTAGTAAAATTTTAATTTTTAGTTCGCCGTTTCCTTGCCGTACCCGTATCTTGATATTTTGACATTAGAGTTTCCCCGTCCCCGTTTCCGTCCCCGTTTCCGTTTCCGTTTCCGTACCGGTGCTACTTAGACTGGCAGGACCGGCGAGTCACTGGTGGGTGACGGGCACTGACGGGTCACTATCGGGCAGCTGGTCACTTTTTGGAAACTGGTCACTGGACGAGGCTGCCGGGTTTCTCTGGATGAGGGTGGGGTATACAAAAGTCATTTAAGTCACATTTTTGAAAATTTTTAAAACTAGTCCAACTTTGTCCAGAACTCTTGTTTTAGTAATATAGATGTCAAAATCCCTTATTTTTACTTTGTGTGGTAAAGAAACTTGTGTTGCCAACATTCTGAAAAATAATAACAGAGAAATTCTATTTGGTAATCCTCAATTTGGAAGTTCTGTTTGGCAGATGATAAAAATTAAAAACCATATGGTACTCTTAAAGTCTAGGTAAATTTAAAGTTTTTTATGTGCTAGACGGAAAAAATTATAATTTATTTGGTACGCTTAAAATCTAGTTAAATTCTACATGTGGTATGCTTAGGCCTACCATATGAATAAAATTTCTTCATCTAACATATTAAAAAAATCAAATTGAGGGTTACAATATAGAATTTCCCATGATAATAATAATGACCAAACACATGTGGTGTAGTGTGAGGACATAGGAAGAATCGTCATAAATGTGAAATGTGCAAGAACAGCTGCAAAAAGGAGTGATAGGGTGTCACACACCGGAAGAGTTGCGTAGTGCCTTCACAGCATCGAAGTTTTTGTATGTATAGCCCACAAAATTTAGATCTTTGGGAGTCAATAACATCTGAGAGCAAGATAAAGTGTTAGTTTTTCTCTCTTCCCAAGGAAATCATACAACATCATTTAACACGTGAAAAAGTTACCTATATCATTTTAAAAACAAATCAATGACAATGCACAAATTTCAAGAAGCTCCTCTCCAATAGAGCTAAGAATTACATTAAGAGTTTTTTCATTGTCCTGTGGAATAATGTCTACCTAATGATCTACTATAGAAGTATAAGTACAACATGTTGTTATATTCTCTCTTACTTTTAAGCTCACCACCAGTTCACCACTCAAAAAATGATACTCAAGGAGTACCACAAAGTATTTACATTGCAATATACATGTAATAGAGTATATGAAACATGCAGACTTCACACCATAGTTACAAACCTTGCGTGAAGGACCAGAGCCAGTTCTTGCAGGCGTCGGAGGATCCAACTGGTGACAGATCCATAAATTTAGTACTAGAGTTAAGACTTAAAACACTGGTCAAGTAAAGCATGATACTCCGAATATAGACAACAATGTTAACAAAAAAGAGACATGGTAAAATGGAAGCAACATGCATAATGTGCATTTCTAGAACAACTTTCCAATAATAAGAAACCTGACACGCATAAAATAAAAATATTTAGTCAAGTACCCGTCCAACACAATATTGCAGACAGTTTAAATAAATTGTTTAATCACACAAAAAGAAGCACCAACTTGTGAGTGCAAAAGCCAGTCGTGGAAATCTGATATTTAGCATAGAAAGCACAGAGTAATATGCAGGAACCAAAGTTCAATATCTCAGATCGGTTCTCTACTGGGTTTGAATCTAGTGTACATGTGTGAGGTACACCTAGGACGTCTATACTTCATGTTGGATATTGTTGTGTGCAGTGTTGGAATATTTGTCTCACCGATAAAACATAAAATATTAAACTAGTATCTAAGATCTTGAACTACTACTTTTTCTAACATGAAGTATTAAACCAGTATAAAAGATCTTGTCACATGATTACATAATTGAGTTGTTACTATATTTGATTGTTTATTCTTTTTTTTCAGTACGTTAACTATATGGTTTTCCCATATACCGCAAATTTGGTATGGTATTCAGTATGGAATAAAAAAACTCAGTATACCGTGCTGAACCACCCCTAGGTAAACCTCACATAATGAAGATCAATATTTGAGCGAGTTGGGGCCCAATTGAATTGATCAGAATGCACTTTGATCTAAAAGCCCCCCCCCCACCCACACTCTTTCTCTCCTAGACCCCACATAGGTGTTAGCCCTACCCTTGACCGCCTAAGTTTTCCACCCGAGTTGATCCCACCAATACTCCGACTAACACCGCATTGGCCCAGCCTAGGTGATAGATGTCTAGCGCTCCATAGAAAGGTGATGCCAGAACATGAAAAATGCAACTCTACAAACAAGCATATTCAGTTCAAACTGATAGAGTATATAGACTTGGACCCCCGGGTCTCACGACTATTGGGCCTGGACAGTGGCCCACACACGCCTTACATATATTATTGTATTATTGTACAGTCCAATTTGTGTTTGTATTCACTAGATTAGCCTTTTATATTATTAGTCCATTTATGTAACCGGGTCTGTCGGGCCCATATTAGAGGCCCGGACCCGGATTTCCCTATTTATACTCCTCTTGGAGATCCTTGTAACCCTAGAACATAATTTAATACAATATAGCTCTCTACTATTCATCTTCTTCCTCATCTCACACTATAGCTCAATCTCTCCTAATTATATATCTTTGGATCCCTATTATCCATCAATGGTGCTTTCATTGAGAGTTTGAGCAAAATCAAGTTAGAATCCTCCAAAAATCCAAAAATTCATCCAAGAAACCGTTCTAAGAAAATTCAGAAGGAAAAATCGAGAATTTCTCAGATTTGAGCTGCTGCGTGCCGTTGTGTGAAGCTCACCGGCCTCTGCTACTCGCTGCACCCACCTTAGATCTCGTTGCCTCTTGAGATCGTCTGTCGTGCTCCAGTTTATACTCGTCATCGCCTCAAAGATCTCCTATGAATCTAAATCTGTGGCCTCCGTCCACCTTCTCTACGCAGGCCCCAGTTGTTGCCGTCTACATCTAGATCTTGAAGGGAAGGTTTTCCTCCATCCATGACCGCTTAAAAGCTCTGGATCTGTAAGTGTCTACTCAGGGGCAGCTACAAATAGAGCTCTCCTCCTCATGCGAAGGGTCACTGACCAAGAACCCTCACGGTATCTACTCTAAGCACCCCAAAGGGTCCTCCCTCCTCCATCAACCGGCGGAAATGCAGGCCCAAAGTAATTCCGGGCAGTCTTAGTCCATATCCTCCGGCCAAGGGCCACCCAACGGCGGCCATAAATGAAGCTCGCTGCTTCTTCCTCAGAAACAGCAATGGACGAGGTCCGGCATGCGGCAACCAGTGCTGAAGGCGTCAGAGTAGAGGTCTCATGGCAGGGAACTACGGAGTTTCTGGCAGATTATCCTTAGCGGCGACGGGTCTTGGTGTGGTGCAGCCTTGTAGACAGATGCTAGTGTTGTCTTGTCTCCGGCGGTACTAAGCAGACTTGAGCTTTGGATGATATCACTTTTCTGTCCAGCACAAGAATTGGGGCCAACTTTGTTGACCTAGTCCACTTGTGCCATGCCCCAGTAGATTTAGAAGTTTCAGCCACACTTCGGAATTCGGATAGTTTGCAGAGCATCTCTCCGTATTGTAAAAGACTAAAGATAAGTATTCGGAAATTTCCATCCTACATTAAATATCTACATACTCCGTATTACTGAATTTGATAAATGATCTACAAAAAAGGTCATAAAGATAAAAGAAAATAAGATAGCATCAAACTTCAATCTCAAGGGGCGAGTCATCCGTTAAAAGATCCCGAAAAGCGCAGACTGGCGGATTCGAACTACGAACTTGAGTTACAAGTTGAGCTAGATTATTAATTTATTATCATTACTTTTAAAGACTTCCAGAAAAGAAAGTCATAAAGATGAAAAATTAATAATATAACATCAAACTTCAATCTTGAGGGGCGAGTCATCCGTTAAAAGATCCCGAAAAGCGCGGACTGGCGGATTCGAACTACGAACTTGAGTGGCAAGTTGAGTTAGATTATTAATTTATTATCATATAAATTTAAATAGTGTGTATTTTTTTACATCGAAAAAACGGACTTATTCCGAGCACTCGCGTACACCGGCGGACTATTGAAGTCTTGTGCCACGGGTCACGACAAACGGGTGTGGCGATAAATAAGCTTCAAATCCAAATGTTATCTAATACACACTCTAGTTTCTATGTTCTATACGAGTTATGTGTGCGCCCTAAAACAATTGAGTCATACTCTAAATTAGGCGTGTGTCACGCTCTAATTAAGCATAGAAACATAATTTGAGCTCCTGCTTGAAATTTTGAGGTCATTTAATGTAGGCCCAAATCCAATAGCGAATTATAAGCTCAAGAAATTATAATAATTTTATTTGAATGCATAGGTGTAATTAAATCATGACCAGGACTACTTAGCATGTCGAGCTACTCACATCGAGAGACTGGTCTCGGCCATCCCCTCAGCAGACGGACACCGCTGCAGCCTCCGCGCCTAGGCCGAAGGGTTCACCCCTTTTGCTTCATTTTGGGGACATCTGGTGTACTCTTTTTCCCTCATTAGGATTTTTTCGCACAGGGTTTTTTCCTAATGAGGTTTTTAACGAGGCATCTCCCCATTGTGGATCAAAAGGTGTCGACCCTCGACCTCCTATCGAAGACATCATCACGAGACATGTACTACTCTACTCCTTTTGACCTCACTACATTCACCTCAAGGAGTGGGGGGCTGGAAGAGCGGGGGACTTAGCGCCTCCGTTACCAAAGAAGCAGAAATTCAAAATTTTTTCGCGAAGTTTACTAACCAGACGACGACAGATCAGCACACAGTTCTACTCCCTTTCGCCTCGAGTACTCTCGACTCAGGGAGTGGGGGACTCCTGATAGAGTATATAGACTTGGACCCCCGGGTCTCACGACTATTGGGCCTGGACAGTGGCCCACACACGCCTTACATATATTATTGTATTATTGTACGGTCCAATTTGTGTTTGTATTCACTAGATTAGCCTTTTATATTATTAGTCCATTTATGTAACCGGGTCTGTCGGGCCCATATTAGAGGCCCGGACCCGGATTTCCCTATTTATACATATTGGAGATCCTTGTAACCCTAGAACATAATTTAATACAATATAGCTCTCTACTATTCATCTTCTTCCTCATCTCACACTATAGCTCAATCTCTCCTAATTATATATCTTTGGATCCCTATTATCCATCACAAACCATTACTATACCGAAAGTTCATGCATGCCTAAGCTCAATCTTTTACAAGATACTATAAGAAAGGGCCGCCTGGTGCACAAAGACATCCCTGCAAGGGGAGGGTCTGGAGAAGGGTCCCGCCACAAGGTGTATAAGAGACAAGTCTTCCCCTATCAAACTTTGACAAGAGGCCGCTCCCAAGACTTGAACCCATGACCTCTCAGACACACAGGCACACAAGATACTAATGAAGATAATTAAACACAAATGACTACTCTAAGGGTGTGTTTGGTTTGCAGGGAGGGAGTAGTTCAATGCTACTTTGTTTAGTTAAGTTGGAGGGGATGGGGATCGAAAGAAATTTCACTTCCCTTCTAGAAAACCCCAAATCGGAGGGATAGATAATGAAGAGAAGGGGGGAAGGGACAACATAACACCTCCTCCATATTTGTTAAATAAACGAGTGGTGCTCCTCCTGCCCACAAAAACCAAACCCCAGACACACCTTATGTTTCCCCTATCAAACTTTGACAAGAGGCCACTCCCAAGACTTGAACCCATGACCTCTTGGTCACACAGGCACACAAGATACTAATGAAGATAATTAAACACAAATGACTACTCTAAGGGTGTGTTTGGTTTGCAGGGAGGGAGTAGTTCAATGCTACCTTGTTTAGTTAAGTTGGAGGGGATGGGGATCGAAAGAAATTTCACTTCCCTTCTAGAAAACCCCAAATCGGAGGGATAGATAATGAAGAGAAGGGGGGGAGGGACAACATAACACCTCCTCCATATTTGTTAAATAAACGAGTGGTGCTCCTCCTGCCCACAAAAACCAAACCCCAGACACACCTTATGTTTCTCTAAGATAAGACACACGAGTAGCTTTTAAAAAAGATCAAAGAGAAGCCAAGATCATGAGTTTCGTGTAAATACTTCATCAAACTTGATAAAATTTTGAGTGTCCAGCTCCCCATTGATTTCTGGTTTGAAGGCTGCATCCATTTCATACAGTATATCCCACATGATATCCTTGAACCAAGGATGAGCCTGATACAGGTTACATGTAATGATCAGTGAAGGAACTGAAAACTTGGTGGAATATAACTTTGCAAAAAATAGTACCTTAATTTGGCTGGCACCGCCAGTTCCAAGTCTGTGATCAACGTCACATACCAATCTGCATATCAGATCCTTTGCTTCAGGTGATAGTTTAGCATCTTCAGGAAATTTGAGGTGATTTCTCCAATGTACTATCTGTGCCAGCATATGACACACAATTTAGGATGCAGACGTTAACACACTACAGCTGGCACATCATTCAGCATGCCTGAGGCATACACATGGAATCCTCTACATGTTACAAAGATGATCGATTTTAAATTTAGTACTAAACATGATCTAAAGCATGAATGTAAAAGTTAGGGCATTTCAAACAGCATTATAGTCAAAAACGCATTTTAAATTCAGTTTTAACTCATGATTATTAGATGCTCCATGTGTTTCATTTGTAGTTTATAGAGAGCAAGTTACCTTCCTGCAAGTCGTTATGGGGTCATCTGAGTAAAATGGGGGGTAACCAATGAGCATTTCATACATAATTGCGCCAAGCGACCACCTGCATGTTGGGTAATATATAAACAGACAAGAAACAAGATCAGATGGAGATTATTTCACTTCTAGTGAAAAAATGTATTTTCTTAAATGGATAACATAAACAAAGCAGACTGTACTTCAGATTATAACACCAAACAAACATTAAGTTTCTACTTCAGAATATATAACATCAAAAAATAGTGATGCCCATAAGCTACAATACCAATTGATAAATTAAATATTTCTTGTCATTACTTGAGTTCTATCAGACCCCTAACCAAGAGTTCCTATCTTTCACCGATCAAAGTAACAACTACTTACTAAAAAATATAACAGGCAAGGCAAAGTCTCACCTAAAAACACAAACCAAAAAAAAACTGAGCTATGAGAGCAACCAGGAGGTTTGCGGTAACAAAGGGGATAATATAAACAGAATTCAATAAGAAGCCACATTCACTAACTGCAAAAATAGTCAAAAACTAAGAAAAACAATTAATCAAAGATTTCAAAGTAAGATGTGGAACAAAATAATAACTAACCAATCACATTCCATGCCATATCCTTTCTTCAGCAGAACCTCTGGAGCAATATAGTCTGGTGTACCCACAGTTGAAAATGCCTTTTTAAATGAAATGAGAAAAGAATGGATTGAGAAAAGGTAAAACGTTTGAAGCCAACAAAGGTTTAGTCCAAGGTAGAACATAATAAATGAACAACTGAACAAAGTAACAAAAACACTCCTTCCATCCCACTAAATTTGGGACAAAGGAGTAATGGCACATGAATTTTATGGAGAAATGTAACTGTGTTGTTGATAACTTGATATTGAATTTGTAAAATATGGATGATTTTGATCCAAATAAATATGACCAAATATAGGACAAACATTTCGGGTTGCACCACAACAACATCCAAGCCTTATTCCCAAAAGATTTTGGGGTCGGTTAACCAGAATTGATCCATGATATCAGAGCCAAAAAGAGAAGATATATAAGAAGAATAAAAAGATAAAGTGGATAAGATAAAGATAAATATAAGATAAAAATAACATAAAAACATTTTGGGATGCACCAAGATGGGAAAATGGGAAAAATATAGTTGGGCTGAGGGAGTACAAATATTAGGAATCTACCAAAGTTCATTCAACAGCTTAAAGACCATTCAGTTGTTCAAAATAATCGCCCATCAGATTTACTGATTGGCCTGATTTCATTTGTTGCAATGACATGTGGAAGTGAATAGTCAAAAATATATTGAAATGACTTCAATAAGAGACAGCCTTGCAGCAAGTTGCAGTCTTATTTTCCTTATTCAAATCAAGTACTCCCTCCGTCCCATAAAACTTGGCCAAAATTGACTCATGTGGAATGAGAAAGTAAAAATTGTGTAGTTAAAATTTGTACAGAGGAGAGAGATATAACTTTAACCCACATATTTATTACTTTAAATGGAAATTGCAAAGTTCCTGGGTCAGCTAAATAAGGAAAGTTTGCAAAGTTTTGTGGGACGGAGGGAGTATTTCTTTTGTTCTCATTTGACAATCGACATTCAGTTTGAAGTTATAAAATAAGACCGTAAACACAAACCAAACATGTAACAGCATCTAAAAGATAGAAAGCAAAAGAGGTTTGTATTTGATAGCAATATGATGAAACACCTCAGACTTTAAGCATATTAGGACAGCAATACAACATCACAAAATTAATATTCATTTTTGAACTTCCCATAAGAGTAATATGTCATACCAGCTTCCTTCTGTTCATCTGCCAATGCTGGAGCTGTTCACGGGGACTTCTCCAGCTACGATTGCCGGCACCAGGGAAGCTGCCATCAATGTCCATTGGGTCTCTAATGTTTTCATCACCCATGGCTTCATTTTCATTTAAAGTAGATAGAGTTCTACAATCAAGGGGCTTACAGAGACCAAAATCCGAGAGCTTCATGTGACCATTTCTGTCCAGAAGAAGGTTATCGGGTTTGATATCCCTAAAAAATAAGGAAAAATAATTAAATTCAACCTCTAAACAGTTCATTTAGATTGATAAAAGAGGTACATAAAAGAAATAGATAGTCATCTCAGCTTGTATATATTATCGCAAACAATGTTGATACGTTTAGATAGGGTTTAGGAGGACAACAGTATTTATTTAATATCACTGGATGCAAAAACAACCCTTTAGGTACATGAATGTACCTAAATCCTTAAATCAGTAACAAAAAACTGAAGTCCAATGTAACATACTCTTTCATGCTCAAACTAAATCTAGCAAGTTCCAATAAAAAAAATAAAGACAATACGAAGAGGCATCCAAACACCCTCCCCCCCCCCACCAGCCCAGCAGACACATCCCTGCTACAACTCCCACCACCAACTCTGCCTCTGTCTGATGCCGTCATATCTACTTATGCACTGTTGTTGAGGCCGGTTAGGAGGAAGGGGGGATGGGGGGTTGCAGGATTTTCTGCGCTCAAGCTTTTGAGGGAATTTAGGATCCTTTACGAATGAATTAATCAATTTTATATAAATAATTTAAATGGTCACTTTTGTGTTCACTCATCTTAGTTTAGTAATATTAGGATCATTATTGCTTTTTAAATACAAGTATGCTAAGAATGCAAGTAGGTGAAAGTACACCTGTGAATATAGTTATGCTTGTGAATTGACTCTATGGCAAGTACACTCTGGGCAATGTAAAACTTAGCCACATCCTCAGAGAGTGTATCCTCTCTCATCAAAAGAGTCATCATATCACCCCCTGGTAGATATTCCATCACAAGATAAAGGTACTCAGCATCTTGAAATGAATAATATAGTTTTACAATGCAATGACTAGCAACTTCTGCGAGTAAGTTTCTCTCTGCTCTGACATGTTCCACCTGTAAGAGAAACCCATCTAAATCAATAACAGAAGTAAGCACGCAAATCCTTTGGCAGGTAGAAACTCCTTTCACCTGTCCTCTTGTGAGCATTTCAGATTTCTTCAATTTCTTCATGGCATAAATATTTCCGGATTTCTTTTCTTTACATAACCTGACCTGCAATGAAAATTTATAGGAAGCAAAATCAAACGGCATACATGTACTTATTAAACACCTCAACATTACTTCACAACTGCTCATTATTATCAAGGCCAAAGTTCCCATAGTAAAGCTATATGCAAATTAACTCAAAAAGTAATTAAAGCAATGTAAGCTCAAAAATGCATATTAATCATGACCAAAGTCACATACAATATCTAACACCAAAGTGATAAATCACGAACCTCACCAAAGGCTCCTCTACCAATAATTGTTAGAAGCTCAAAGTCATCAACGCATATCTTGTGCCTCCTCAGCCTCATGTACTCGGTTTCTTTTCGTTCTAGATCCTTGATCAGATTTAGTTGTTCTTCTTTGGGAACATCAGAAGTAGCTAATTTTCTCTCTAGTATCCACCGCCTTTACGTTATGGAAAGTACCAATATCAAGTGAAATAATAATAGAGAACATAAAAGTAGAATGTAAGTTTCATATCAAAGCACATTCCCTGTAGTGGTAACAGAATATAAAGTTGCTAATTTTATTGATATTAAAAGACTTCCAAGTTCCAAAACTAGGTAATATTACCAATAAATATAGCTCTATAACCAAAAAGAAGGACAATTGACGTTTCCGTAAAGAAAGAAGGCATCTCAACAGTAGAAAATGAATCATCATATCCATGTAAAGAACTTTCTTTCAAAATCAAATCATCAGCAGTAGATCCCCTTAATCCCAATTACATTGGGGACCTTGGAGTAGGTAGCATAAACTTATAGTGTCAATTAATTGTCTAAATTCAGTCACATTATAGATCCATGCAAAAGAGAATTGTATCAAAGTTTAATGTTAGATGCATAATGAAATGAAATTCCAAATATGCCATAGCCATAAGTACTTTCACTTGCATTTAAAATACCATGAGCAGGCGAGGAGTTGAGATAGGTTACATTTATGTCTCATTACAAAATTAGTATTTTAAAATCGATCAATATTTTCCAAATTTAAAAAAAAAAAATGAAACAAAGGGAACTGGTTAAAATCAATCGATGTTTTCCAAATTTAAAATCAATCGATCTCACTTCAAACTTAGCAAAGCAATTTGAATAACATGTGCTAAATGTTTTCATAACGGTTAAAATACAATGAAACCTATGAGGCATGGGTACCGCTGCGGAAAAGGACATTTTTATTGAAATAAAAGATTGGTAGATGCGAAATAGGGAAGAGAGAGATCTAGAATATTGTTTTTAACACTTCAATCCAATACTTTTGAGTTACTTTAAAGAGACCCCATGCCTAAACACCTTTGTCGTATCCTGAAACTGTGTACCTATTTTAGAAAGCAAAAATAGGGAGTCAAAGTATATGTCCCTGTGTCCCCTGCGTGTGCAACCACCTAGAAGTATCTGCTCTTGATAGAGAAACATTATTTCACATATCATCACCATTACAACTGGAGTCCCACCCCGCCTACTTAACGCTTGTGTGTACCTGACTACCTACTTACTATCATTTTCACCACTATGGCACTACTTCCACTAACTTCTTTGCTCTCTTCTACACACAACTAAGTCCCTATGTGCCCCGGCCCCTCCTATGAACTCCACCCTCACCCACATAAATGTTACCACCACAATCTTTATTAGTATTTACTATCATTACTACCGATACTCTTATTTCTCTACACTCACCCTGATTTATCACCCCTCCCTAACGTCAATATTACTCAATACTAATATACTAGTAATATATTATTGCCAATTAACACATGTGTTGCTGTTTTTGTGGAGATAAACAAATAAACAACAAAGAACTACAAGGGTGTATAAGGGGTATAAAGTGCACCTCATGGGTTGAAAAATGGTTGAATTTGAACGTATATGCTAGTTTCACCATAAACAGGCAAGCTTGAAAATTGTTGGAGAGTGGGAAAGGAAAAATAAATAAATACAAATTTCATTATAAAACGGGCAGCCCGGTGCACGAAGGCATCCCACAAGCTAGAGTCCGGGTATGGGTCCCACCTAACAAGGGTGTATAAGAGGCAAGCCTTCCCCTTTCAAGTTTTGACATAAATTCCGTTATAATAATAAAAAAAAATGGATATTTGAATCTAAAATGAAAGGGGAAACTGTAACTAAACGCCCGCTCAAATCACTGCCACACCACCACCACACAGGGAAAAGGAATTTATATGGTGAACCTTGGGGATTGGTTTCACTTATGTATTCTTTTGCCCGCTTCATCCATTTCGGATAATTACAAGCATTTAGAACATAGAACTAGCCATAAACCTGACCTATTTTTCATTAACTCCCGATTTAACAGAAAATCAAATAAGCAATCAAAGCAGAGTTATTACTACACTCTAGATCTGGAAAAACGGGCATGAGTAAGCACCGAGCTAATTGAGAACGTTGAATACATCCTCGAATGCCCAAGCAGATACTCACCTTTCTTTGCGTTCCTGTATGCTCTTCATCTGATTCTTGTAGTGATTCTCTATGAATTGCTTGGCGGCGGCGACTTTCTCCATCGTATAGCTTGAGCCGAGCACTTCCTCCTCGTAGCGCTCTTCCTCCATGGTTCCTCTATCTAGCACACGAGCTCGCTCTCTGCAACTCTCGCTCTCTGTGTCTAGCTGTGTGTATCCATTAGTTGAGCATATATATAAGTATAAATGCACGTATTATGTATGTTTGTACGACCTGTTCGCAGAAAAGCCCGATAGAGTCTACCTCATCAGCGAAGAAGACGACAGTGAGCAGAGAAGCAGCAGTGTATGCGCAGAGGGGTTTGGATTCACTGCTGTGGACAGCTCCGTTCTAAAAAAAAAAGACTTCCCTTTAACAGCTGGCATTTCTAATATGAAGAAATTCATATTTTTCTTCAGAAGAAATTCAATCACATTTCAATCTCTCTCCTGCACTCTTACCATTTTGATAAAAAAAAAGGGAAAACTGTCAAATAGGTCCTTGAACTTTCATAACAAAGTCAATTAAGTCCTTCTATAGGAGACTCTGTTCGGTCGTCGCGATTTGGGGCGGTTCCCAGTATAACTTTTTGATGAAATTTTTTGTGCATCTTATTTATCAAGTCTAATTTACTCATACCAAATTTCAGCTAAAAATTGAATCGGGAGCGCATTCAAATTAATTCGAGAACTCAAAAATGCGCAGTTATCTTTAAGAATTAATTTGAATGTGTTCCCGATTGAATTTTTAGCTGAAATTTGATATGAGTAAACTAGACTTGGTGAATAAGATGCTCAAAAAATTTCATCAAAAAATTCCACCGGGAACTGCCCCAAATCGCGACGGCCAGACAGAACCTCCTATAGAAAGACTTAATTGACCTTTTTACAAAAGTTCGAGGACCTATTTGACATTTTTCCCATAAAAAAAATCAACAATATCTATATTTAGAGATTTAAGGCACTATTAAAAACATATAACACCATTTAAATAAGTAAAAAAATTACTAAAATTTATTTATCTTTCTCTCTGATGTCACATATGCATGTGCACATTGTCATTGGAGATGGTCTAATACTCTCCAGTGTCGATCATGCGTAAACTCGAGTCTGAATCAAGTTTCATAAAAGGCCCATTTATATAGTGTATGTTTGTCATATAGCTTATATAAAAATAAATGATCAAATATCAGAAAATGTAATACTTACTTAAAAGACTTACATTATAAAAAAAATGATACTAAATGTATTGCGAAAAGCTAATTAAGTACAACTCGTCGTACAGTTTTAGATGTAAAAGTATTAAAATCTTTCTAAAAAGTGACATATTTAGTTACTACGGAGTAGTTCTCAAGAACGCATCATCTAACAGTGATTTGTCTTGTGAGTCTTGTACACCGTGGCTAATCATATTTTAATCCAAAAAATATAATTAGTCATATCTTCGTCCAGTAAAACTCTGTAAGTAAAATACATGTCATGTTTTCAACCAAAAAAGGTAAAAACCAAATTTTACTCAAACCAAAGTAAATTTAACAATTTCATTATTACTATAACTGAATCGAACCAAATTTAACAACTTCAATTTTTAAAACAGTTCTGTCAAATTTTAATCAGAACCGAATTGATCTCAGGCCTAAGAGAATGATCTTGTAAGGTCGGCATAAAATGATCCATGGCGGCGGCTATTTGAGATGCTGCCTGATGGAACTTTTTTATGAAAGCTTGTGACCAAATTATGCTTATAAAAATTCATCTTAAAATTCAATCAAGAACTTAATTAAAGAAGTTATTGAAAAACATTGCACCAATATGTGTGTGTGTATAATGCAGTGTTTTTCAATAATTTATTTTAACCTGGTTACCGATTTAGTTTTGCTACAATGGGGTTTGGCACAATATTAAAATACTTAAAAGAAAAAATAGTAGGGTAATCTACTATTTCTAAGGGGGGTGTAGTAAAAATTAAAATGCATCTCAAAAAGGAAACTGTAAAAAATATCTTAATACGGGGAGAGTAGTAAAAAATATCTTGTCAAGTTTGACTATCATGTTGAATAATAAAGTAAGAAATATGGTTGAGGTTTGTAACTTTGTATATATAAATAATAGAAATTGTCAGCCCTCGAACCAGACTTAAGATGCGCATTCACTATAGCATACTACAAGAAAGTGATTAAGAAAAACTTACTATATTTGTCATACTAGTATGATGTGACTAGGGAAAACTGTCAAATAGGTCCTCGAACTTTCATAAAAAAGTCAATTAAGTCATTCTATAGGAGACTCTGTCCGGTCGTCGCGATTTTGGGCGGTTCCCGGTGGAATTTTTTTATGAAATTTTTTGAGCATCTTATTCATCAAGTCTAGTTTACTCATACCAAATTTCAGCTAAAAATTTATTCGAGAGCGCATTCAAATTAATTCGAGAACGCAAAAATGCGCAGTTATCTTCAAGAATTAATTTGAATGTGTTCCCGATTGAATTTTTAGCTGAAATTTGGTATGAGTAAACTAGACTTGGTGTTCAAAGATTCTCAAAAAAATTCATCAAAAAATTCCACCGGAAACTGCCCCAAATCGCGACGGCCGGACAAAACCTCATATAGAAGGACTTAACTGACATTCTTATGAAAGTTCGAGGACCTATTTGACAGTTTTCCCATGTGACTACAATGTGACCTGTGCTACAAGAAACTTACTATATTTGTCATGCCAGTATCACTGATCACAATGTAAGAAAAACCTAATGTATTTGTCATAATAGAAACCGTCAGCCCTCGATGGGTGACTACAAGAACTTGTGTCCCGTGCATCACATATGTAACATACTAGTATGACAAATGTAGTAAGTTTTTCTTAATCACTGATCACATCGTATGACAAATATTATCGTTTTAACGAATAAGGAAGTATTTAACTATTTCCCTATTTTGTGCATTAATATTAAAAAGTAATATTGAGTAACTTTCACAAAGAATAATAATATTATTCTTTCTATACAAATAAACTAGTTTTGTGGATTTGTGGTGTGTGCTCTTTTTTTTATTAGTAGGATGTAGAAGTTATACTAGATTGAACGGTAGGAACTTTAGTTCAGTCACTATAGGCTTCAAGTTGTTCGTACCAAAATTAGCGAGTCATTGCACCTATTTAAAGGTGATTGGCTCTATCTATACTTGTTAAGCTCATAACTGGATTGATTGTGTCTATTTTGATGGACATCTATGAGTTTATGAGATAATACCTATTACTTTAAGCCATTTTCATTCAAAAAAGTAATGATAAAGTTTTCAATTGATACCTTTAGCTTTTTCCCAAAAAGGAAAGACAAGGATTGTCAAAAAAGGCAAATGAAAATCTCAATGAAAAGAGTAAAGTTACTGAAAAGTAATACTCTAATAGTGCTAATTAGTGGAGTGGGTTGTGATAGGTCACAAAGAAAGGCATGACTTTTTTTTGGAAAAACATAGTAGGGACTATATATATAAAACGATTAGATAGAATGACAATCTGTGCATCTCTTGTTTTTTTTGTAGTTGAAGAAAATGAGTAATTTCAAACATTGATATACCATCAGAGGAAGGTGTTGAGATGATTGACGACTCAAACAAAATCCTGAAGGCACAACACAATTGGATGAAGATGCAAAATTTAAAAGCTAAAACACTGAAAAAGAGGAAAATCTACTTACTTAATAAAGTAGAACCTTGTAAAATATTGAATTCTCAATTAATTGCTATTGAGTCCAATTAGTGAATAGTCATTAATTGCAATTAAGTCCTAAACTCATAGTATTTACACATGTTATGGAGCATCAGTTTCCAAATAAATTAGAAACAATATAATCATTTCATGTAATCATTCCATTTAGAGAGAATATGTATATTTGGATAGTTTGTAATATTGAATTTCATTCCATGTTTTTGAAAGCTTTATTGATTTCATTACCTTTCAAATCACGCTTAAAATAGGAGAAACATTTAAAATGCAAATTGTGATTTTTAAATTAAAGAATTGAAATAATACCGTTAGGGTATAATACTATAAGAAGTATATGATAATGACATTGCATGCTTATATGACACACTAACGAACACACTGTATTTTTCTAAAAAGTTTCTCTTTTAATTATACTATCTCCATTCTTTTCAGTTACAAAACTTCCATTTTCATATTTGCCAACACACTACTTTGATTATTAATATTCGATGTAAGTAAAAAAATCAAAAAAATGAGATTTTAGGAAATTTAAATTGAGATGAATTGCACAATATTTTTCAAAAAATGTATGATACATTAATAAATAAAATATAGTCCTATTAGAACATGTGATTAGTGTAAAAATCAACATGTTGAAATTGTACAGGAACTAAGTCGGTATAAGTATTGATTTTGTATCATTTTGTTTCAATAAATGAAATCACAAGACGTGTTAAGGTCTAAAACTTCATAGAAAATGGATAGTGCAAGTACTTATTGGTCATATATATTAAATAAACTACACCCACGTCTTCTACTTTTAAATCAAATTTCAAGTCATCATTTGATTTTCTATTCTCATAAATATTCTCACACACTCTACCTGCAATATTCATCAAGGAAGTGTGAAGGCAAAACTGTTGTTTGCCGCTATGATGAAGCTATGATGGTTTTGAGCTTTGTTTTATAGTTTTAGACCTTACATCGAGAGACATCATGCAATTGTGACATATAGAAAATGAACATATGCTTTTTCAGACCCCAAGCATTCCAGCCCAGCTGGTTGTGAGGTCACCATGTCTAGTGGGAGGTCTCGAGTTTGAAACCCGCTAGGCACATAAGTGTTTGAAACTCAATGGAATGAGTTTCAGCCCTAATTACTCTAGGCTCCCCCAGCCCCCCTCCCCCAGACCCCCCCCTGGAGTATTAAAAAAAATACAAAAAAAGAACATATGCTTTTTCAGAATAGAAAGAAGATTGTTGTTCGTGGGGAGACATCAAACAGAGAGTTTTTATCGTCTTGAAGGGAGTTGAGGAGAATCGATGTGATTAAAATGGCGATTAACTCTTCACACTTTGAGAACACCATTCAGTTCTTCTTTTCACAAAGAATATGAGACTAATGATTTTATCACGAGTAAAGAGTCAGATGGGTACTCGAAATTGCATAAAAAGGGTCAAATATGTCCTTAATGTCCGACCGTCGCGAAGTTATCTTCAAGAATTCATTTGAATGCCTTCCCGAATGAAGTTTTAGCTGAAATTTGGTATGAGTAAACTAGACTTAATGAATAAGATGCTCAAAATATTTCATCAAAAAATTCCACTGGGAACTGCCCCAAATGGCGATGGTTGGACAGAGCCTCCTATATAACGA